GCTCTATCTTCCGATCACAGTGATGATGCTTCGAGGTTTTCTGGGGTAGAGAACTCGAATCTGTACTCCACTTCCATCGAAATACGAGTCTATGGGCTTTTTTATTTCAAACTGAATTCTAAAATCAAAAAAACCACACCAATTTCTTGCGAATCAAACTTTTCTCGCTTGATACTACGTAGTCTCACTAAAAACCCTTAGTCCCCCCTAGTCCTGCAAAGTCCCCCTTAGCCCCCCCCACAAAAAGCTTAGTCCCCGCTTAGTCCCCTGCGCAGGGGACTAAAGCCTATAGTACACAAAACCACAAGCACACCCTCACCCTCACTCGCGCGCCCACACCCGCACCATGGGTGTGGGTGTGTGTGTGGGTCCCAGACCAACACCCACACCCTCAGTCACCCACCCCCCCCTCACTCCTAGACTCACGTTTCAGTTTGAAATCAAGTATTATTTTTATTTGATAAATTCAGACTGAAATTAAATAGCCCATTGTATGCGAAATACTATTGGTTGAGCAGTGACCAATAGAAATCAAGTTATCGGAAAAACGACTTTCGTAGGATAAATCAAGGCGAAGAGTTCAAATCTGAGCTCTATTCATCTCTAAATCCTAGTGGTTGAGCAGTAGCCAATAGAAATCAACTGTTTATAGAAAAGGCTTGCCAGGATAATTTTTATGCCCACACATTCTAGGATGACTAATCAGTCTCATTCACTTTTTTGTGTACTCAAAAAGTGAGTACACTCTAAAATCAGTCAGTGTGTCCGGGCGGTCGACCAGCCGACCGTTTACACAATAATCCGTGAAAAATATTATCCGATTGTGATGAAATTTTGCACATAGAGTTGTCTCATCAATATCTCGGTCGAATTCGAGGATAAGAATGATTGGCCGTGCCATTGCTGAGTTATTGCAAAAATAGTCATTTTTCCCTATGTTTCCCTATGCGAAGATCAACCTATCTCCGCTTTCGTAAAAAAATTTTCCTGTCATAGCAGCAGTGTCACATATCCAAGATTTTGGAGATGCCACCACGTCTCCCGCGGGAGATGCCGCATCTCGCGTGAGAGATGCGGGTGTGGGTGTGGGGGATGCGCATATCTAAAGGAGATCTTACATCTTCAGTGGTGAATGACCATATCTCTCGAGTGTGGGTGTCGTGTCTCCCGCTGGAGACGCGGCATCTCCCACGGGAGATGTGGTGGCATCTCCAAAATCTTGGATATGTGACACTACTCTGTCATAGTCAAATAAAACCCCAGCTATTATATACCATTCGATAGAGAATCTCACGAGCTACAAAATGGTATATAAAACATAATGAAACAAGAAAGCTAACTCACCTATTGCAAAGATAATTAAACGAAATTCGGTTCTGTTCTTGTCCACGCTCTAATTGATCCACAATTCGAGCTCTATCTTACAATCACAGAGATGATAGTTCGAGGTTTTCTGGGGTGGAGAACTCGAATCTGTGCTCCATTCGCCTCGAAAACCCATTGGTTGATCAGTAACCAATAGAAATCAAGTGTTTATAGAAAAGGTTTGCCAGGATAGTTTTTATGTCCCCACATTCTAGGATAACTCATCTGTCTCATTCACTTTTTGAAGTACACATAACTCTCGGATTTAAATCCGAGGTTTCCACATTTATTTTTTGATAAAACGTAGACAGTGCTAGAAGTCATTATTGACTAGCTTTACTATGGTACATGCAAATGGGCTAAAGATTCAGGTTTGGCGATATTAGACTATGACCTTTCAAACATAAAAAAAATTAAAAATGTAAATTTTGACTAGTGACTCGTATGCTGAGATGATCCGTGGTCTTTTCATTACGCTCTCCTAGAAAACAGTCTTTGCATTGACTTTAATTTAGAAAGATTGGATGCCATTGGTATTGCTGTTTCATATTAATTTCAATCAGATTAATTCAAAAAAAAAATAGGCGCCTAATAGCATCCTCATAAGTACTTACCTAAGCAAAGACGTTGTAATTGTAAGCAAGCGAGAATAGAGTCTATGAATAAATCTCTGTAAAATTTTGCGTGCTTAAATAGTGGTTGTTTATGCCATTCCCTGCATCAATTATTGAAGCAAAATTCTTTTACGGGCTTCCATAAATTGTTTTTTTCTGCTCTCGACTTAAGGCAATAACAAAAACTACGATGGTTACGATTTTGCTTTAAAGAAAAGAAACAGAACAGTAAGCACAACACTATACTACGCATCAACATTTCAGGTTTCGTTTGCTTCAATAGCTTTCAAATAAAGAATGGCTAAGGAGAAATGTGCGTCACTCTGAAAAGAAGGTATTGTTCGATAAAAATCAAAAATCATTCTTTGTTTTCATAGGCCAATGAAAGCGTCAGAAGGAAATAAAAGATGATGACGAAATCGTTATTTTACATTAATAGTGGTAGCTTACTGTGTCACACATACTAAGAACTTGTTGAATGCATTTTTAAAGGGTCCGAACCAGCCAGTCCCATTTTAAACATGCCTAGTTACCAATCACAAGACACTGAAAAAGTGAATATGTATGAAAGTGTGAGTGAGTGTAGGGGTGTGAGGATTTCTGTTCTTTGATTGCCGTTCCTAATACAACGGGAATCAACTAGAGAGTTCGTTTTCACTCATTTTCGAGCCTATGGGCATGCTTAGACATATCTAGTCTTTCAATTTGTTTTAAGACACTATGGGTTCACGAGTTTCTAGGAACAGAAACCCACAGCGGGCTTCGAGTTCCTACGAACGTAACCCGAAACTGGCATCCCTAGGTGAATGTGTGCAGTGTGGGATGTGGGGTGTGGATGTAAAATGTGAATTGTGAGATGTAGGGTGCGTATGTGAAGTGTGAAGTGCCCGTGTGAAATGTAGGATGTTGATTATGGCGCCTTAATGTCGTTGCGGATAGATGTAGGTGTGTGCGTATCGTGTAAAGACTTCATATGCAGCGACGAGTGTTCTCAGGTACAAATCGACATCCACCTTTGCATCCCGTCCACATCCGAGCCCTAGTTACAAACACTCAAAGACGCCTAGACCCTTCAGCACAATCACACCCACATCCATGCCAACCCACGCTAGTGTCGGGCATAACCAAATTTTTTGCTCACGGGCACAGTCCTGCTTTTTCGAAAACTGATGACCCGGCGAAGGGGGAGGGGCGTGTAGTGCGGTGAAGGTTCATCTATCTCTCCCTAGTGCTGAGACCTCGACATTAGATAACCATTTTAGTACCCGTGACTACCCCGTGAGTCACGGCGGTCAAGTAGGGCACTAACCTACACTCATTCTTTTAGTAATAATTTTATAAAGGATATTATGATCATCCAGTGTATATTTAGAATTTAATGATGAAACATTTTGTATTTTTTGAACATCAGGATCTTGATTTTGATGTAGGTGTAATGTATCATGTTCGAATGAAATGTTAATGTCATTGAGGAATGAAGAAGATGTAATAGGTGAAGTAGATCAAGATGTAGCAGGTGATGGTGTTGTTATGAAAGAATGAGATTATGATGAAGTTGTTGCTGAATGAACAGGAAGTGGATGTTGTCGTGACTAGAGGTGTTAGCCACCGATAAAATTTTCATCCGCCGCCGCCGCCGATCGAGTAAAAAGTCACAGTTCAAACTTCCTCTTTTTCTAACTTATCACTTGTTGATAATAATCAGTAATATCGCAAGTTTGATCTATGTGACAATTAGAGATTCCTGAAACCAACAGAACTTTTAAAAAATAGGAATTAGTGTATTTTTTCTTGGATGACATATGGTCTGAAAACCGAGCTGATAAGCAAATATGTCTCCTTGTGATTTTGTGACGCTACCATATTTATTAGGTTCTCATTTGCCTTATTCCTTCATGCACAATAGATTCATCGCTATTATTTTCTCCATTTTACGATTCTTGACTTATTCAGTATGCAGTTTCGACTAACTGTCTAGTTTGAGTTCGAATATAAATTTAACTAACATTGCGATTCAAATTCGAATTCCAATCGACACTCTCCTGCCAGTTTAGAAAAAAGAAAAATATTTAATTTCAATTTGAATTCAAATAATCAATGAAAACAAATCTTGCTCTTCTTCTCCATTCACAGAAAAGTATCGATTTGAATTTGGATTCAAATTCTAATTTCAATGTTAGTTTCACTTATGATCTAATTTGAGCTACCATAGGGATGGCACATTATCTTTATTTTACTTTGAAAAAGTAAAGTAAAGTAAAGTAGAGTAAAGTAAAATACTATAGTTTGAATGTGGATAATAAAGTGAGATAAAGTTAACCAAACAATATTTTTCATGTATTCATAAATAATCGACATTTTTCGGCTTTACTTATTTTTTTTCACACTAATTCTAAGACGAAACGATATTGAATAAACTTTGATTCGTTCTAAGATTATTTCTACACGATCCTGAACTAAGAAATTGCCAAAAAATTTAAAACATACAGCTTCATTTTTTTCACTTTACTTTACTTTACTTTTTGGGTAACGTATTTAACTTTACTTGATCGGGTAAAGTAAAGTTCTAATACTTTACTCTATTTGGTAAAGTAAAGATAAAGTGCCAGCCATAAGCTATCATGTTTGAATTTAATTTGTATTTTAGATGGTTAGTCACATTATTGCCATTTCAGCTTATTTCATGAGCCCTTGTTGTGTGGTTTGAAGTTATTTTATGATGGAACAATGTGAATTTTTTGAATTAATGAAAATAAAGTTACATCTAGTGGGAAAATTCTTCCATAAAAAGACATGAGCGTGCTAAGAGGAAAACAGCGTACAATTCTGTGAGAACAGAACGTCTAATGTTTGTCTTAACGGTAGGAATCTACGAAAGACCCTGTGAAATAACATAGGAAAAATTTTGTCGTCGCCGCCGCCGCCGAAAATAACCTCCTCGGCGAGAGCTCCTTGCCGCCGCCACCGCCGATGCCTTAAAACTTTTCCACCGTCGCCGCTGATCAAATGATCGGCTAACACCTATAGTCGTGGCATTGAATGAGTTGTAACAATATTGACGAGAAGATCTTCAGTTTGCTTTGAAGAAGTAACAATACCAGATGCATCTTCATCATTGACATCAGGTTTATCAATTGAATAACTGGAAAGAGCATCAAAAGTTGTATTTTCTTTTCCAGGTATATGTCGGATAATCATACCATATTGTTGTAATATTGTCATCCATCGTTCAATACGAGCATTATAATAAGGCTTTTTCATCAATGATAGTAATGGTTTATCAACAGTTCCAGGAAAAAATTGTTGACCTTCAATATATGATCGAAGCTTTTGAATAACGTTCCACCAAATAGCTAATGCTTCAAGTTCAATATCAGCATATTTCTTTTTAGCGTTTTTTAAACTTCAGGATGCAAAAGCAACTGTTTTATATAATGATATAGTTGATTTAGCATTATAATCACGAAGTTGCTTTTGTACTAGTGCAGTACTTACACCGACATGTGAAGGATCTGTACGAATAGTATATGGTCGTGAAGGATCAGGCAGAATAAGAGCTGTAGGAGATGTTACAGCGGCTTTTAATTGATCAAATGATAATCGTTCTGGTTTAGTCCATATAAATGGAAAACCTTTGCGAGTAAATTGCTTGAGTAGTGTTGATATCTGAGCAAAACGAGGGTAAAATTTTTATAAAAGCCAACTATTTGCAAAAACTAATGAGTAACTTACTGGATTGAGATGAAGGACATTGAATAATATTGGGTTGTAACATAAGTTCTGCAGGTCTTTTTCTTCACCATTCAATTTACTTCACTGTCTTTTTCGGATCACAACCGGCTAGTTTCTACAAATGTGCGTTGAACAATTGCTAGCAAGATGGATGGAGGTTTCGAAAATAATGGCGATTATATTGTTGATTGATGTTGCATATCTTTGTCGTACAATAAATTTGTTAGTGAACGAAAACACCTGCAGAACTTATGTTACAACCCAATACAATTAATGCTATCATCATTATGTGAACAACCATTAGCATTAATTTTATGGCCAAGAAACGAAATTTCATGTTGAAAACAAGCGCATTTATTATAATTCAATTTAAAATTTGATGCATGTAACACTTGCCATACGTGACTAACGTCTAAAAGATATTGATTAAAGGAAGGGGAATAAACAATAATATCATCCAAGTAAGCAAGATATACATCCCAATGTAATGGTCTAAGAGTTTGATTCATTAAGAGTTGCAAAACTGATGGTGAATTTTTTAATTTTTTAAGGTAATGTAGTAAATTCCCAAAGAACATCAGAAGCTATGAATGCAGTTTTAGCACGTTCTTTATATTCTAGAGGTACATGAAAGTATCCACCACGTAAATCAAGTTTAGAAAATATTTGAGATCCATTTAAACGTTCAATAACATCATCAATATGAGGTAATGAATAAACATGTTTTTGAGTAATGAAATTTAAACAAGAGTAGTCTATGCAAAACCTTGAAAATCCATCAGATTTCTTAACTATAACAACAGGAGAAGCCCCAGGCAAATTCCAGAAGTCAATTATTCTATATCTAACATTTTTTTTTAACTTCATTATTAATAATTTGTCAATTAAGGTGTGAGACTCGACGTGAACGTTCAGCTAAAAGAAAATGAGAACCGGTGTTGATAGCATATTGTGGTTTACAGGTAATGCCTTATAAACATGAATCATCAAAAAGTTGGTGATAGTGATGAAGTATGAGATAAACTTTTGTTCTCTTAGCAGGGCCATCGATATGTTCAACTAAGGGAGTAATAATTTTTGTTATACAAATTAAATCTTTATTACAACAATGAAACAAATGATCATACAATGTTAATTCAGTAGAAAAACGAACACCACAATGATTACATGACACTCAAGATAAAGATGAAGAAGAAAATTTAGAAGAGTTTATAGGTGATGCATAAATGATGTTGAGATCTGCTGTTGCAGTTGATGAAGGTATAAAACCAAATGGAATATTAGGTTAAATCAATTTTGAATGACGAGTATTGTTGATAATGGAAATAACAGCACGACTATCACGATTATGAAAGGTGAATGAGGAACCAAGACCATTCGAGCTTGTTGCAGAGCAAGCTGATATGTAAATGGTGGATTATCTAATGATTTAATAGGTGCATAATCATAAGCAAATTTTTAATGAAATGGAGGAATAACAATAGAATGTGATAGTGACATAATTATTGATTCACTACGAGGTCGAGGTAATAAAGGAATTGAAGCAGGACCATTATAAAGGTAAATACGATTGGTACAAAAACTAATATTAACATAACTTTGTTGAATTCAATCACAATCTAAAATCAAACGACAAATAAGATCACGTGTAACATAAATATCAACATATGTATCTATATGATTAATTTGAACAGTGAGTTTAACTATGGCAAACAGAGAGATAAAGCCACTATTTGCAGTAGGAACTTTTTTAATGAACAGGGGGGCGATGGGTTTGTGCTGCATATTGGACAATGTTTTTTCATGAATAAGAGAAATTGCAGCATCGGTATCAACTAATATGATGGTATGGATACTATTGATTAAAACATGAGTTGAAGATGATGATGAAGGAAGTGATGTTTTTCTTTTTTGTAGATGTACCACCATCTTGATACCTCTTCAGATGTTTTTCCGATTAGAACAATATTGAGCAATATGTCCAAAACCATAACAGGCATAGTATTAACGTGATGTAGATGATAAGAGACGATGTTGAGAATAAGAACGACGAGAGAAACATGATATTGAAGCAGTTGGTATATTCATAAGTAGTTGAGGAAGTGGTCAATAATGTTGCCAAATGAAGAATCGACGGTTCACATTAATTGGACGTTTAACAACGTTCACTTGATGATCCATGTGCATATCTTCATTTGGATAACGAATACGTGCATTTGGTAAAGCATAAGATAAATAATTTAATGCCAATAAAATTGTTTCTTCATCTTGAGCAATATAAAGAAAATCATTTGCTGTTGCCGGATGTCGAAAAATAACATGGGGTAGTAATGAATCATTTAAACCTTTGATTAAATAATGAATGATCATAGATGAACTCATATTGGAATCAGCTTGTACGCATAAATGAAGTTTATCATAATAATACTTCATTACTGATTCACTAGGTAATTGATGCCAGTGTTCCATCTTGAGTAGTGCTCGATGAATTGATGGTTGATCAGTTTTAACGATAGCAATTTGAAATGAAGACCAATCCGGAATGGTCAATTTGTTAAAACGAATTGTATCAGCGCTCATCAAAGGATGTATACTGACTACTTAATAATATTGTATCAGTAACATCAGAATACCTATAGTCGTGGTGACTATACTCACCCTCAAGATACATGGAATATATAATGAAGCAAGAGGAAAAATATTCAGATATAAATCATTATGATTGGCATTCGATTTCTTAGGTGGAAAGGAAAGAAAGCCACAAAAAAATAAAACATAGTGTATTTTTTCATCTTAAAAAACTCAATCATTTGACATTTTACTTTCATTGTCTTGTTTTTTGTCTGTAATCCATTTATCATCATATTATAACGTTTTGACATTTAAAAAAATGATTGTTGTGTATACTTGTGAGGATTAGTTGAATATTGTGTTTTTGTTTTTATTTAGAATTTAAAAAAAGATGTAATCTTCAACTAAATCCATATTTGAAACAAGAAAGTAGTAAATGTTGTTTTTCCTTCGTTATTTTTGTATTTATATCTGATAAACGTTGCAGATGACTAACACAAATATAATCATAATGATTACAACAGTTAAGATATCATTGATTATAATTATATTCAATATTTATTGTTTATTAAATATCAATGGTCAATCAACTCAAATAAACACTTACTGTAATCCAATCAATATTGATTACACTTATAGTATCTACAATGCAAATGAAAATATTTCGTATCGTTCTGGTGCTGATCCAGCTGTTGTTAAATTTAGAAACGAGTATTACATGTTTGTTACACGTTCAATGGGCTATTGGCATTCGACTGATTTACTTCATTGGTCATTTATAACTCCAGAGAAATGGTATTTTCAAGGATCAAATGCACCAGCTGCCCATAATTACAATGATTCTGTTTTATATGTAACTGGAGATCCTTCTGGTTCTATGAGTATTCTTTATACAGATAATCCCAAGAAAGGAGACTGGAAAGCAATACCATTAATCATAAATGATTTACAAGATCCAGATTTATTTATAGATGATGATGGTAAAGCCTATATGTTTTGGGGCTCATCTAATACATATCCTATTCGAGCAAAAACACTCGATAGAGAAGATATGTTTCGTCCTTCTAGAAAAACCTATGAATTATTCAATTTAGATGAAAATAATCATGGATGGGAACGTTTTGGAGAAAATCATGGTGATACAGTACTTAAAGGATATATTGAAGGTCCTTGGTTAACGAAATACAATAATATGTATTACATGCAATATGCAGCTCCTGGAACAGAATTTAATATTTACGGTGATGGTGTTTATGTTAGTGATTCACCTCTTGGACCATATCATTATGCACCAAATAATCCTATTTCATACAAACCAGGTGGATTTATGAATGGAGCTGGACATGGTAGTACTGTAATTGGACCTAAAAATAAATATTGGCATTTTGCATCAATGGCAGTATCAATAAATGTTAATTGGGAAAGACGTATATGTATGTTTCCAACTTATTTTGATAAAGATGGTCTCATGTATACAAATACCTATTTTGGTGATTATCCACATTATGCTCCAGCAATTGCAGGAAAAATGGGAGAGTTTACTGGATGGATGTTAATTTCATATAAAAAGTCAGTTAAAGCATCATCTTACTACGACAATTATATACCTGAAAATATAGTTGATGAAAATGTAAAGACATTTTGGATAGCAGAAGAAAATGATGATAAACAATGGGTAGAAATTGATCTTCTCAATTTTGGAACAGTATATGCTATTCAAGTTAATTATCATGATTACAAGTCAAACATCTATGGCAAAGTTCAAGGGTTGTATCATCATTATTTTATAGAAGGTTCAATCGATGGCAAAAATTGGTCAATATTGGTGGATAGGAAAAATGATTATAAGGATGTACCCAATGATTATGTTGAACTTGACTTTCCACAAGTTGTCAGATATATTCGTTACAAAAATATTCATGTACCTACTCCAAAACTGTCTATTTCTGATTTACGGATTTTTGGTCGTGGTCATGGTAAAGTTCCTGCTAAGATCAAAAATTTAGTTGTAAATAGATATAAAGATCGACGAGATGCTATGATTACATGGGATCAACAACGTAATTGCCATGGATATAATGTGCTTTGGGGAATTGCTCCAGATAAATTGTATAATTCATGGATGATTTACGAAAAAAATTTCCTAGAACTGAAAAGTTTAACAGTAGATCAAAGTTATTATTTTTCGGTAGAAGCTTTTAATGAAAATGGCATTTCAGAAAGAACAATGATTGTTAAAAGCGAATAGTTTAATAACATTATTATTGCTATTGGACATTTTATAATTCTATCCTATATTGTTCTTTGGATAACTATTGCTAAATTTTACTTAATTTTTGATTTTATTTTAGTTTTATAATTCAATTTTAGTGGTTCTTCTAATCTTTTATACACATTTTATTTATTTAATCACACATGAAACATAAATATAAAATTACATGAATACAACATTAACAGCATAACCATTAATTTTACAATTTTTTTAAAATCAAATGAAAATAAATAAAATACCACATAATAATGTTATTATTATTTTGCCACCAATGTTTCGCTCCGATATGGAGCATCATCATCAGAGAGATTTGACGAAATTTATAAGCGAAAATATCTGGTCATCATCTACCAATGTTATAGCATCTCTATACAACATTCCAAAAGTACCATAATGGCTATTTCATATATATATGAGAATAAAGTAGACTAATACATGTTAAAAAAAAATTTTGATAGACAAAATAGATAAGTTTCTTTAGAAAGGTAGGTATGAGAAGTGAGAAGCGTAACAAGTCACACCCGCACCCTGAATGGGCACTGTGTTTTTTATTGAGCTATCACATGCGTGAAGCCAATTTTGCATTTTTTCAAATGTCCAATGATTTTGCTTGGAATATTTGTCGACGTTGTTTGAGTTCTCATTCACAATGTTAAAAAAATTCTAAGATAATATTTCAAACGTCATGTTGATTGCTAGCTGTAATATAAGATAATGTAAGGTGCACAGTTACTTAAATGATGCTTCTGTTCTGCTGTGTTTTATGATATTCGTTACAATCAAGTGTCAATATTTGATGATAACGATGTCAACAATGAAAGATAAGAGCCAAGCTTGAAGAAAAATTGCCGAATAGAGTCATATAAGAGCGCATGCTCTTCGAGTAACATTTATTTTCGCGACCAGTGCGAGTGGAAAACATCGTCGAACAACCTTTACTCTCGATGCGCAAAACTCTTCGAATCAAATATGAGTACCAACGATAGGGGCATACCGATACAGAAAAGCCCCAGAACAAAACCTCCTCGTGTTCGTTTCGCTCAGGATTTTATTCTAATTTGGTTAGATGCAAACGTGAATGAGTTGGATGCAGACTACCAAGAGTCCATTACTCAAATTATGACAAACAGTCGACTGTTGAACAATGTTTCGATTTTCTTAGTAAAATCGAGAAAGCGGGTGTGTGATACATCTGGGCGCGTTTGTGAGTGAGCTGTCTATTAATCTTCAGGCACCCATACCCATATCCCATTTTCCATAATACACGACCATGCTCAAAACGTATTCCAAAACGATGTGCTACGCTTCCTTTGCTCTTAGAACAATCCTGAATCCATCGAGTAGACTGTCAACTCTTATCTGAAAATCCTGACTAGTTTGCAATGTCTCCTTTCGATCCCATCTTTTCCATTGGACTTTTATCTATGTCAGATTTTAAGTGCTGGGATCAGAATCACGATTCAAACCGAGAAAATCATGTGAGACGGTGCTCAAATATTCATCAGTGTAATAGCATGTTACATCCTCATCGCGTAGTCTCCTATGAAACTAAATTTTTCCTATGCTTCTAGTTAATGTATATATCGTATTAACTCTCGTTATTCGATATCCGTTCGTATTTTCTATCTCTTTCTTCTATGTTTTACCTTTGCTTTTGGTTCTCTTGTAAAATTTTCTCACAATTAATTTAGGCTATACCATCACCAATCAACTGCATTGACAGATACAATTTAGGTAAGAACCCACTGATTAAGTTTATATGTTAAAGACGGTCAAAAGACAGATAAAAATGTTGTACTAAATAGTTGATTTCAAGAACATCACCTTATCGTGTCTGATTTCTTATTCTAGCAGATGATTATCAGAACTGAAGCTGGCGAGCATATCTCTATTAACGTAATTTATTTCTTACTTTCTATTCTACATGGTATCAAAAGCGTCGTTTTATAATCTTTAGATCGAGGCATCAAATACAATTACAGATGTGAAGCAGAAGATTCGACATAAGAGAGGTATCCCTCTCGACCAACAATTATTAGTCGCTGACGATATACAACTGGAAGATGATCAAACTGTTTCCAACTACAAACTTGACAATAGTTCTGTCATCCATCTAATATTGATTTATAGTGAATCAAATAGCACAAGTGACATTTCGGTTAGTATATATGAAATGTTGCTGAACATATCTAGAGCAAGAACCTAATTTAGACTGTTGTCCTAATTACGATGAGCTCAGACTATCACTGACATATTGCATCCGAGATACGATGTAGCTGATAATTTATCGATTGAGTACATTATTGTTTTAAAGAACTTCATTTAATCATATCACGTAAAATTTGTGTGAATTTTCTTCTTCTAGAGGGTCATTGTCAAGACCGAAGACGGTGGTAGAATCACACTTCAGGTAATCTTCTTTTCTCTTACTATTTTACAACATGTAAATGATGCTATTGTTTTTGTAATCACTAGATCGAACCATCTAATACCATCAGAGAGGTGAAAAGGAAGATTCGAGATCAGGAAGGTATTCCACCCGAACATCAACTTTTAGTTATCAACGACGTAGAGGTTGATGATCATCGAACGGTTTCCTCCTATCATATTGGGAATGAATCTACCATTCATTTGATTAGAATGGGCTATGAGACGAGTCCTGTTCTTCATCCTTCAGTAAGTATACGTGAGATGTTTTTCAAAATCACTATGACGTGAATGTATTTGATGAAGAAACAGTTAGCCCCTTGGATTTTGCTATAGTTAATTATGAAAGTAATGTATTTTTGGATTCCATGAAAGATGCTCCTGTGACAGTTGCTCCCCAGTCGTACTTAACAGAGCTCTCATTGATTGCAAGAGCAAAAGCGTGTTGGTCTCCATCAATCGGAGAGCTCAATCCACATCCATACCCTATTGTCAAGACAGCTGCAAGATTGAACCTATCCGAAACATGATTTTCCATCGAAATTTCAATTTAACGTTTTCAATGTCATCTTGTAGTCTCTAGAATATACTTTTATAAGAGACTGATAGGCTTCTAAGCAAGATTTTGTTTTTTTTTTCACTGTAAAAGGTTGTTCTTCTGAACGAGCCATCGTAAGTCAACTATGAATTCGATGTTGCAACTCGTTTTTCTGGATTCTTAGTTTGACACCAGTAAAAAAGTGTAATGAATTCCCCAACTTCATTCTAATATCAATTTGAATGGTGTCATTTGATGAAGACTGAAAAAAAGAAGAGATGTTGACATGAGTGTATTTTCCAAGCAGATGCAAGATGTGCCAGAGAATTGTGCAGCTAGATAACGCAAAAAACGACCAAGATCACTTCGTAATGAATGTTCGCACATTGAACAATTGCTCATTATTTGTTCTTTGAATATACTATTGCATTCCAATCTGAAATTTTTCATGTCTTCTGATAAATCAGATAGTCATTTGTTTCATAAAGTTTGAGGCAACATTAACGACACAGTTGTAAACCAATTTTCACATTTAGACTATTTCAAACACAGTACCAAATGTTGCAGCTACACCCACACCTCTCTCTGCTTTCTATGTGGCTTGTCGAGACAATGATGTTGCGAAACTTCGAGAACTTCTTCGAACACTTTCAATCGACGAAATGAATAAACTGGAACCAAATGGAAGCACGGGTCTTCATGTAGCTTGTTTCAGAGGACATCGAGAAATAGTGAAACTACTCTTGGAGAAAGGAGTCAGTCGAAGCATCATGAACAAATTCAAGTGTTTGCCGTATGAGGAAGCTGCATCAAATGATATTAAGCAACTATTTGAACGCATACCCGGAAATACTCGTTATGTGGCAAATTCTGGTAGAGTAGAATGGCTGTTAGTCGCTGCTAATGCACATGCAATGGCAGCCAGAAACATTGAGGCTACAAGGCAATATGGAGTTCATCCATTTGAACCCTATGTGAAACAAATAATAAATAATTACATCAAACCTCATTTTCAAGATGTTGAGAAATATGAAGAACTCTTAGGATTTTTCAACATGGCTCTCACAACAAGAGATCCAAAATATCTTCTCAAAGCTTACACAGCTGAAACAGGTTTTTATACAAAACTCAATATCGACTTGGCCAGTGACACTGACGTCGGAAAATTGGAACGTCAGTTCTACATTGGTATTCTTGCTTTCAATCCTTGCTTTGATCAATTTCGTTTCAATGGTGAAGCCTATCGTGGAATGAGCCTCACAGAAGATGACCTCAGAGAATATGCAGTGAACCAAAAAGTGATGATTAAATCATTTCTTTCGGCAACAATCGATAAAAGTGAAGCTGAGTTTTTCTTGGGAAAGATCCAACGGCATAATATTCATGGTCAAGCAGTAAAAATGGGCGTCATGTGCACTTACATCATTCGAGATAAATGGAGTAGCCTCAATGTTGAACATATATCTGAGTATCCTAAAGAGAAAGAAGTACTTATCTTTCCATATTCTGTGTTCATGGTAACTCAAATCTGGGGCTTTCCACAGACCAACGAAGATGACCCGATATATATCATTCTTAGGCAGTGCTCGACCTATCACACGCAGTAACCAATAAGATTCGCACAATCAAGATTTTTATTGCAAATTGAATTCTAATTGTGAGCCTAAACATATCTCAAAGATACTATTGAGAACCTTTTGTCATGCTGGAAAGAATGGGTATAGATGTGGATGGGTTGTAGATGTGAGTGAACATGTGAGTGCGAGTGCGGGTGTGAAGCACAGTGGACAGCTCGGCGAGAAACTCCATTTTTGAGATATCGAATCCATATCGTAGCTATCATTGAGGCTACTATGATCCTGCATTTAAATGCATCTTGCATGCGCCTCCATAGCTAGGATGTAGTAAATAGCAGGCACCACGACGTACGTAAAATAGATGAATATCATTAAATACATATACTTAAAATGTGTGTTTTTAATTAAGGATTTAGTTGTATCCGTTAGTTATTATGTAGTTATACGATGTTATGCATCTGCTATGTATTATAGACCTTTTGGATTTGTTGAAATTGTTTAGGCTATAATAAGATCAAAAACCTGCCATCAGTATGGTGGAAAATAGGCACTGGCTCATAATGTGATTTGTTTGCCGCGTTTTGCTGGAGTTTAAATTCAAGTTTAAATTTATCGTTTGATAGAACTTGTCATGATCTGTCTTCAGTAGATGTATACAGATGCATCATTGAACCATTGTCGAGATATTTGATTTTTGCGGCATGTTGTCGCACAATACCGTGGTCCCTCTCAGGTTCACCTGAAAAATTGGCTTTCGAAGTTCGACTTAATACTCTGCGGAAAGAAAGGTCTCAATGAGACTAGTTAATTCTGATAGTTTCAAATTTCTTGGTTGCTCCTATCCTAAAACATGAACATTTCACATTTTGTGCGGTAAGCAATGTGAAAAAGAATATTTTCTTATACTCATATCTCGGGATTTGAAGGAACCCAAAAATCCAAAACTTTCAGAATTAATTAGTCTGATTGAGACTTTTCTCTGGACAAAGTTTCAGGTCGTAATTCGAAAATTGATTGTTCAGGTGAATCTGAGAAAGACCAAGTCTTTTTGCTAAAAATTGCCATAAAAATTGAATATCTCTACAGAAATAAGCTATAAGCACGAACTTTTTTCAGAATTTTCATAGCTCATTAGAGCCTACATAATGCATTGCATATAGTATCGATTCAAAAGCGATTTGACAACTGGAAATTGCTTCTGATTCCATTTTTCTGCCCACTGTGTGGGATATGAGTGTTCTCTTCTCTGACCACCATTCACACCCACATTCTCACGCCCACCTACACAACCAACCACACCGCGCACTCACTCGCATACCCACACCTCATGTCCACACTTCACGTCCACACTTAACCGACAATCATATCGTGATAACCAAAATACCGACAACCACAACAAAGTCGATTTTCAGTGTCTATCCTGGCGGAAAATTCTTTTTAAATTTTTAGGTTATGATATAATGAAAGCATCTTCTTTGATACTCTTTGGATCATTCTTGAATAAATACAAAGTCAAAGCCATCTGATGAGTCCTTTAACAAACGCATATTCATACCGACCCCACACCCACACGCACACGCCATGAGCTTGTTATTGGCGTATTGGCCCCGTTAGAAGTTTAAAAAATTGATTTTATTAAGTGCACGAATAATATTTGCAGATAAAACAAGTCTGAAGTCTCAGGGACTTCTTTACTTGTAGTCAAAGTTCCAATGGATTTTTGTCTGATCGATGTATCAACGCTTAATCCAGTATTGCAGAAGAATGACTTCAAGCGATCCCAACAGCAGTTGTTCAACGTGATATAGAATCAAAGGTAGGGAGAGAATACTCACGAGGTCCGCACTTTGCGTAGCATTTACAGCAATAATAAGTGGCATTCCTTTTGCAACTGTTTTTGTTGCAGCACAAAACATGATAGCAATCGTATCTTCTTTAGAGAAGCGCCAACGTTCAATCAACGTTACTCCTTGGGGTTCACAATCTAGTAGAAGTGATTGCTCGTTCTGGTTTGTCGTTCTTGGTAGGTAAATGAACATATTAGGTAGTCTTGCCATGAACATAGCCAAAAGCGAAAATATGATATAGAAGAGGGCATTTAGTCCAATAACAATAAAAACATCTGATGTATGCACGGAATTCAATAATCTGCTGTCAAAAAAATCAGACAATACCGACCAAAGTATCAATAACAAAGCCGTGCTATTCAGCTCTGTAAAGTGAAACGTTGTTTTTGCCCACAAGACTTTTTCTGTCCAGATGTGATGGATTATTTGTCCAATGATTAATGGAATCATCACAGTCAAACTTAAATTAACTAAAACTCGAACATAATCGTTAACGTCATATGGCTGCTGTAAAACGTCCAGGTTATGATTTCTCATAAATAACCAAATGAGAGCTGGCGATATAAATACGCCAAGAATATTACCGAGAATTGAATTCACTAAAGCAGCAGATTCATTACCGCCTGCATTTTTGGTCATCACAACCTAAGAGTCAAACAAAAATATAAGCATCCCATCCAACAGAGTACCAAAATGAGATTCAACGAAGGGAGAAACAGCGAACTTTTCAGACTTTAAGCGCACTTCAATTTAAGCAACCCTGTAAAAAGTCATAGAAGTTTTACACAAATCAGGAATCTTGAAGGAGACCCTGAAAGTACGACCAACATTCGAAAAACACTATCAGAGTCTAATAAAATCTAGAAACACCGAAAATTACGAAAAAAAGCGAATTTTTCAGCCGTTGTGCGCTGCAACGTTTCTAGAAACGTAGAAACTCTTTGAAGCATTTGGAAAAGCTAGAGAACTTTGCGAAGTTCCTGAGATTACACAATACATAAACAAAGGCCATTAGAGGCAGAATAAATGCAGAAAAACTCGTCGAAAAAGACACTGAAAGTGAGACTACTTGGAAAAGATTTCGGAAAATTAAAAGCCACCTAAAACAATCTTGTGCACTTCAAGAATATACAAAGAATACTAAGGAACGGCTAGGAGTCATTACATGAAAGAGAAAATCTACTACCATAGAAGGGTGTACCATTTAAGCACCCACGTCTACGAAACGCATGTAATTTTTCAGAGCATAGTCTTTCACACACAAAAGCAAAGTCTCAGTTCTCTACGATAGTTCTCTGTAAAGAATAAGCAATT